GCGTGATGCGGTTGGATGAAAACATCCACCTCTTTAGCTGCCGATCTGCGGATGACAGCTTCAACACACATGATAAAAGAAGACGGTAATGAATTAGATTACTCGTTACTGAAAAAAATACTTTATTTAGTAATGCCATTATTTTAAACAGCATCATTCCCATCACTGAGTAATGCCAGGAAGAACTGGAAATCAAACCTCAGAGAAGAATCATCAACACCAGATTCCCCCTAAGGCTCTGTACTGAGTCCATCACTCCACACCCTCGTTATCCACGACTGTAAGACCTCTCAGAACACCACGGTCAATAAGCTGATCACCAAGGGACTGGAGGCAAACCACAGGACAGAGGTTGAGGATATGCTTACGTTAGAACAGCAGTGGGATGAGTACTGATCCAAGGACAAAAGATTTTGTAATTTCTGTGAAAGTTGAAGAAATGTGGCATGTCGAGGAAAAGCTTCCATCACACTGTGGCATGGAATCACCACCGTGCAGGAGAGCAAGGCATGCAACACAGTCTGAGCAGCACACTTGTGGACTTTTCTTTCTTTCTTTCTTTCTTTCTTTTTAGTAAAAGACCTGTATTTGGTATAGTATCTTCTAGGGTTCTACAACCCCCAAGGTGCCTTACAACACAAACAGTGATCGACCAAAGCACACACACATTCAGATGCTGCTGGTGATGGGCTACAATGTACCCACAGATGCCCTGGGGCGCACTGACACTAGTAAATCTGCCAAACACTGGCTCGGTCCCGCCGACTGCCACCAGCAAGCAAGGACGGGTTTAGTGTCCTGCCCAAAGATACAACTCATGCAACAGATGGGGCTTGAGCCTGAAACGCTCTGGTTGTAGACAGACACTTAACTCTTGTTCCACGACTAAAGATGAGAACTAAAGACAAAACATACAAAGATACATTTGGACTTCATCTTCAGTAATGAGAGCATTGCTCACATCTCTCGTGATGAAAAAGAGAAATAAGGCTCATGTTTTTTTGGTTTCGGCTGAAATGCACTTCCTCTGTGGGCTTGGTCAAGCTCTGCCTCGGGGATAATGTTAGGTACTCTTTCCTTAAGGGGACACTTGGAATAGAACTGCTGCTCCAATTGAAAAGAGTCAAAGAAGTTTGTGCATCTGACTATAGGATGCCTCCATCTGAAGGTTTTACAGGCCAATCCACTGGTGGAAATCCCTAGACCTAAATCACAGCAGAAGGATTATGTACCCACTCTGGCCTGGGAACACATTGGGATCTCCTAGAGGAGCTGGAAAGAGGAATTTCAGGGCATATCTCCAGGATCCGTAGCTTTTGTCACCTGACTTTTTATAGGGGGTATGGATGGTTTAATGTAGTGTTACCACACACTTGACAATAAGCTTCTTGCAGTTGGAATCAGATGCAAACTTTCATAACTAAACCTTTTGGGGATTTCTGATTCTTTTATCATTTATTTTACAGCATCAACAAGCTTCAGTGTTAAAGCGCACCAGATTGTTATTGCCGCATCAAACCATAAAATGAATCATGTTTCCTTGGCTTCTGCGTCTGCTGATCACACAATGTGTTTCGACAACTGTTTGAAAAATAGTCATCCACTTCGGCCTGGATGACTCATCCTGTATGGCTGTCTCTCAATCACAGTCTGCTGGCCGGTTCCCTTCTTCCTCCCGTCGCTCCCTCGTTGCTCTTCTTCACCTCTCATTCATAACTCATTCTTTTTGACGTTAACCCCGAACCACTGTTCTCTTGGTTAGCCGAGACAAAGAGCGCGTCGTTGCTCTTCATCTCCTCCAGCTGACTGACTGACAGCTTTGACAGCAGGAAAGGTAGGAGGAGTTACTGTCCTGCTTCAACTCCTCATACACACACATACACACACACACACATACACACACATGCACACACACACATACACACACATGCACGCACACGCGAAAAAAATCTACATGCTTCACCCTTTTTATTCCTCCAAGGAGCACAAGAATCCCATCATCCCTCCATGTCAGCATCGTAGTTGCAGCCCTCAACTCATTTGCATAATATTCCCATCCCCCTGCTGCCTCACTCCTTGGGTATGTTACAAGAAAGAAACTTCTCCTGGGAATTATTATTATTGTGAGATATTCTGTGAATATGGTCAAATTTCTTTATTTTCTCAGCTTATTACACATTCCCATCCCCGTGCATGCACGCACGCACACACACACACACACACACAGACACACATTTAGAGGCTTGCAAACACAGACTCATAAGAAAATTGCATCAACTTTAAGTTATTCTGCAGAGCGAGCCAAACCACAACTTTACTAACAAGCAACCCCATATTCCATGTTTTACCTCCATGGGATTGAGTTTGCGTTTCCAAGAGCAACTGGTTGGTGTCCGTCAAGAAAAATAGTTTCTCTCTGTTTTGAACAACGTTTCCACGTGTCTTTATCAGTGTGTGCCATGAGTGACAGTAGTACTACATGAGATTTAGCGTCTAGTTGACACTCCTTTCCTGTACAATTGCTCACTGCTCGTTACCCAATCATATGGTAGTGATGTAATGCACTTGGACATCTAGATGTGGTGAAAATGAGTGGCTGAAGTTTAAATGGAGTCTAATTGAGCTAGTCTGGATATCTCATAAAATACTATAGGGATTTTCACCCACAGCCATTTCTGGGGATTTCAAAAGATTAGTCTTAAAATGTTGTGTGGATGAAAATGTCTTGATGGTGCAAGAAATCAGAGATGAAGTAGCAGCTCAGATAACAACTGGTTCCAGCCAGAAGAGTGTCTCAACATGATGAGCCTTGAAGCAGACGGAGTCCAGCATCAGAAGACCACACCAGGTGTCTCTCCTGTTTGCTAGGAACAGGAAACTAAAGCTCAACTCAACTTGCAGCCCTCAACTCGTTTGCATAATATTCCCATCCCCCTGCTGCCTCACTTCTTGGGTATGTTACAATTACCGGATCACCGGAACTAGACTAGGGGAGACTGGAAAAACCTCCAGCTGCAAAATCCATATGTTCAGGTCAGAATTTGGAGTCACCAACATGAAAGCATGGATCCATTTTGCCTTGTATGAACGCTTCAGGCTGCTGTTAGTGGTGTAAAGATGGTGGTGGAGACGTTCTTGTCCCACTTTGGACCCCAAGTACTGCCTGAGTTTCAAACACAAGCAGTGACCATTAAAACATACCTAATCCTGGCTTGAATATTAGCTGGAGATGGCTTTTAGGCTGCAGGGTGAGCAGAGTCAAGTCACCTGACTGCAAATATCTTAGCAGAGGTCTATAATTGCCAAAACGCCTGCAGGAGCCTACGGTGCGGTGCCTAATCTCAAATAAAACTCATTTGGTGTTTTATAACTTGTGCATGTTTGAAAAGATTCCCAAGGTTATGCTCACTGACTGAAACTCATTATCTGCTTACAGAAAAAAAAAATAGGTAAAAAGCTTAATTGGTTATCTTTAAATGATTTATCTTATCTTTGAACAAGCAGAAAAATATGTTAATTTGTTAGTGTATTAATAGCACCATTACTCAAAAAATCTACTAAAGCACTGAATTGTCTGGTAGCTGATCATTCTCCTTATACTGTAAATGCAGTTGTCTTCTGGCCAGTGAAGACAGACAGACAGACAGACGATTCCTACAGTGTGATCAAACCTGAAATCATTGAATTAAAGGCTTAAAAGAAAGCAAATAAATTTACTGAAGAACAAAATAAACCTGTAAATAACGGATCCTGTGTGCAAACCTGAAGCAAATGGATCACTCTGATGGATGGATAGCTGAATCTGGAGCCTCTCAGAAGGCGTGCTCTCCTCTCAGAATGATTACTTTTCTGCAGCAGGTTCAATTTCTGATTCACTGAAGACTTAACTTTGCCTCCATCTACCAAGAACAGGAGGTTTTACCTGATTAACAGTTGCAAACCAATCCTGTACTCTATCGCCCCCTGCTGAGGATTTTGGCAAAAGTCTAACAAATTAAGGGATTTGAAATTCTACCAGTTTTTTCGTGAGATTAAAGCTGATTCTCTTGCTGTTTCTAATGCCTAGATGTTGTTACGTTATGTTGGATCATAGAAGCATGTAGGAAATCATCTCTCTGAAAAGTGTCACAGAAAGATGAGCAACAAGCAGGAACCTCAAATTGTGATTATTTTTTTAATTAGGTCAATCAGACTCAGCTTTGAAAAACTGCAACAAAAACTGAACTTCTTGGGATTTTTCATTGTTACAGGACAAATTATTAATCAGGAATAAAACCAACCTGGTGGTGTTGCTCTTTGAGGAGCTACGATAAAATATGCTGCTGATGCGACTCAATTTGTCAAGCATTGTTCTACATGTTATACCCAAATAATAGTTTTAACGTCACATGTAAGACAGTGTTGTATACGAAATGTTTATTTAAAGTTTTTTATTATTATCCATCCATCATTGTCTGAACCCGCTTTGTCAATGTAGGGTCGCGGGGGGTGGGGGGGTGGGGGGTGAGGGGGGGTGGGGGCTGGTGCCTATCTCCAGTGGTCAATGGGCAATCAGGCGGGGTACACCCTGGCCTGAGAGCCAGTCCATCGCAAGTGTTTATTATTATTATTATTATTATTATTATTATTATTATTATTATTATTATTATTATTATTATTATTATTATTGTTGTTGTTGTTGTTGTTGTTGTTGTTGTTGTTGTTGTTGTTGTTATTATGTAGTAATTCATCACCAGAGTCTAATGGTTATATGAAGTGGTTAAAAAGCTACTCAGAAAATGAGGCATATTTACAAGAAAACGAGTTAGAAAGTTGAAGAGATCCGATGTGACCAGCAGGTGGCAGCAGCACGTCTGCTAATGTTTGAGTTCCCAGCTGAACCGTGAGCGCACTCGACTCCATCCTCTGATGAACAGGAGGAGCGGTAAAAAGTGTTTTTGACTGAATGGCTTTTGATTGGTTGGAAGTTTTAGTGATTTTTTCCCCTTTTCTGAATAATTCTCTATAAAGCTTATGATGTGTTCGAAGCTTCATTGTTTGAAAGCGCGCGCGGTACACCTCCTTTGACGGGATCAGGACGGAGAAAGTGATCTTGTTTTTGTTGGACTAACTTATTTGATGGGATATCAGTCCTAGACTATATATTTCTGATAGATTTTTACTTTCGGGCTTAGTTGTATACGTTCTGACTGTTTTTGAGTTCGGAAGGGGTCATCTTTACGCACACTTTGCGCCATGGCAAACTCTTGTCTCCGACTGAGCGGATTTCTCCTCAGCACCCTCGGATGGATTGGTATTCTGATCGCCACATCTACAAACGACTGGGTGACGATGTGTAAATACGGATTGAACACCTGTAAGAAGATGGATGAGTTGGTGTCTAAGGGACCCTGGGCGGAGTGCGTCATCTCCACTGCGCTCTACCACTGCGTCACCTTCACTCAGATACTTGAGCTGCCAGGTAGATTCCTCAGGCTTTCAAATTTTGCTTTCACGTTTTTTCCTGTTTGAGCAAATTAGATTTTCAAACCCTCAAAGTTTCCCCACATAACTGCTTTTTCCTCTTCACAGCCTTCATCCAGACAACTCGAGCCCTGATGATCATCGGCTCGATCCTGGGTCTCCCTGCAGTGGGAATGCTCCTCATGTCCATGCCTTGCATCAGCCTTGGAAATGAACCCCAGAGCTCCAAAAGCAAGCGCGCCATCCTGGGAGGAGTAGTGATGCTGATCGTTTGTAAGATTTATTTTTATTTCTCTCACATTTAGACAGAAATACAAAAACAGAATCAGAAAAAGGGTGCATTAACTTTTAAAAGTAAAAAAATCTGCTCCAGTTGACCTTATTTGACCTTTACCAACATGCTACAGAGAGCAGAGGATGTTGGACCCTTCCTGTCAGGGTGAACACACACACACACACACATCCACACCTTCAAACTGTTAAATGTCTCTGTTATTGACACCCCCACCCCTGCAGACCCCATCACATTCCTCCTGTCCACCTACTCTCATCCACACCCTCTCTTTGTCCTAGGCCACATGGAAATTCCCAGAGCTGCCTGGGTTTGCTGTGATTCTAAATATTTGACTGTTGTTGGAGCGTTTTCCACCACCTGCTGTTGTCGCTCCAGATCATTTCTCTCTTCCACACCTTACATGAAGATTTTTTTCAGTTTAATCACAATTTTTTTGCCCCAAATTGAGCATTTAAGCCCTAAATAACATAATCCCAGCCTGAACTGCTTAAGACATTTATGATGATGATAATAATAATAATAATTATTATTATTATTATTATTATTATTATTATTATTATTATTATTATTATTATTATTATTATTATTATTATTATTTCATTTCCTAATCTTTATTTCACCAGGATGTTTCATTTAAAGAGAAACCTGATTTTACAGAATTGGAGGTACTTTTTTTTTTTTTTTTACTAATGTCAACAAGCACAAAATCATTATAGGAGTATCACATTCCCCCCAGAACACAAATGCATTAAAACAACAGATCATATCTTTAATCTTTAGAAATCAAAGACTGAACAAATATGTTTTGGCTTTGAACAAACTCAGTTTGGAGAGTTGTAGATCATTTCTGAACAGAGACATAAGCTAACTAATAATCATTGTGGGGAAAGTCAAAATAACATATCGTACCACAACATCTCTTAGCAGGTTATGTGATTGCTGTTTCCCAAACCCATACTCTGCATTTCTTGACTCGAAGTTCCTACAGGTGCTTGAAATCCTTGAAAACAAAGAAATGAAAAAATGTTTTTGATCATACATTTTCACATTTAATTTAAGTTTAGCAAAGGTGTAGGAACTCGAATGTTATAAGAGAATTTTTCTAAACTTGGCTGGAACGGTCCCACCTTTTGTCAGTTTGGTTGCAAAAAACAGAGAATTACATGAAAAAATACATTCAATATAAAGGTTATGGGGATGTAAATGTTTATAAATGTAGAATTACATCACTAGCTAAATTTATGTTGAAAATTGGGCTTTTTCTTGGCCTGTTTTGGTGCAACAGATGCACAATATTTGTTTGTGTGATGATGTCACAGCTAACTTAGGTTCATAGTAGCAAGAAAATGAAAATATCCCTGATAAATCCCGTGTGTGCTTATGGAAAACACTGTTTCCTGATTTGGACTGTGTCAATGTTTATCCTTCCTGTTGTAAAATCCTTGATGCCCTCTGTTAGTATCATTACCTTCTAATGGAGTTTTTATAATAAATATGTTTTTATTTAAAGGGACATTATGGAAGTTTGACAGCCAAAACATGTATAGAAATAATACAGTTCTTCATACATTCTCCTGCAATGCCCTGGTCCTGTAGAATGAGCCCTGGCATTTTTACTGTGATTGCCTGTTTTTCTGTAAAATCACAGAAAAAGAGAGCTGCTCGGGTCGAGCAGGCTGCTTCACGCATATTCACGCTCAGGCGTCGCCCGTAGCATTTGCTATCAGTAGCTTTAGCAGCAGAGAGAGAGGTAGTGCCAACTCATCGACTTTGTCGCTGTTCCTAACGCCTAGTGATGAACCTAGCTACATTTCTGAGGACCCTTAGCTACTTTCTTCTAGATAATTCCTGCAAATTCGCAACAAAATAGCCATTTTTGCTCTAAACCGTTCTTTGAACATTGTTTCAGCTGTCATTCAAGGACATAAAAGCTACAGATACAGAAGATGTTATTGGTGCTTTAGCTCACCTGGTAAGACAATGGACTCCCGTGTGGAAAAACTGGGATCAAATCTAGATGTGAGCAAAATTTACAATTTTTACAGTAACATGGCCACATTTTTATATGACTCGCCGAATGGCATTGAATTCACAGATAAAAAAGATGTGGGTTCAACTTTCATTTTGGAACAATTTTTCAAGCAAGGGAAGGGAAGTTCTGTGAAGCTGACAGACTGACCCATCTTAAACCTTTGTCGGCTGTGCTGAAGAGAAAGGTACAGAACCAAATTATTTAATTAATTAGCTGCACGTTCTCCTGTCCTCTGTCCTCCAGGCCACACGCACACGGAGCTGACTGTCTCAGCTGTTATTGTCGTAAAGGAGTGTGCACGTACAGCATGCGCGCCTCGTGCATGAGCCTACCATTGAAGCTGCCGTTACGCTTTTGGCCTGAGGGGGCAATAGCGAGCATAAAAATTCAAAACTCTGTAAAGTCCCTTTAAATGTTTTATATCCCATCCTTATTGAAAATTGACCTTGATTGTGCAAAATATTTCAGGGTTTACCTGCTTGCACTTTGCATTCCCCTTTTATTAGAGTATAATTTGTCTTTCACTATTTAATATTCAAGTTAACTTGGACTAAATGTCTCTGTCTCTCCTCAGCGCTGTGTGCGATCGTGTCCACCATCTGGTTTCCCATCGGCGCCAACAGAGAACACGGCCTCATGTCGTTTGGCTTCTCCCTTTACGCCGGCTGGGTGGGCGCCATTTTCTGCTTGCTTGGTGGGTTCACGCTCATCTGCTCATCTGACTCCTCATCCCCATCTTCGTCTCGCTCTTATCAGGACAACAACCATTTTTACTACTCCAAACAGGGAGGTGGCAACCTGCCTGCTACCTCCTCCAACAATCACGCCAAAAGTGCCCACGTCTGAGACGTGTCGTGTGTTAGAGCGTCGAAGGACGGGACTGAACTTTGTACATAGAGACTAAAGCACAGAAGTGAACAGTCATGGTCATTACAATCACATACATATGTTGCAGAGGAGAAACACACACACACACACACACATGCTAGTTAATGTGAATACACACCTTGACTGAACATACCATCAGAATACATCCAAAGACTTTTTTTCTCCTGTAGTACGATTCGTCCTGCCTGCCTATATTAGTGTCATTTGGACTTTATTACATAAATGAACAATAATCTAACAGCAGCTTTAGGTATTTTTCCACTTTTTATCACACAAAAAAAAACCTCACAAGTGCCTTTGTTCTTGGTTATTTTGAAACTGTTGTATCGTGATGTGTTGTATTGATTCAGTGTTGTTATGAAACAAGTGCTTGTGTACTTTAGCAGTGCTGGACAACTCCTGAGGGACTGGCTCAAATACATTTTAACACCTCCACATATTGATGGCTGCATTCCTTTGTCATAAAAGTGTATTCTCTATTAGGTTGTAACGTTTTGCACAATAGAAAAGTATTTCAAAGTCTAACATTTAACTTTGTCTCCTGATATTCATAACTGGAAGTGTGCCTTTAGTATATTTTTTTAAAGCCTGTGTCTATTTTAGGTTTGGATGATGAATTATGTGACACAAAGATCACTTTTATTATCCATAATTCCATAATTAGATGAGATATCTTTAGGTTTTCTTTTGAGGCCAAAACTTCCTTTGACCTGTGATAACAAGAAGATGATCTTCATTGTAACAAAGCTTCCAGATGTGGATATTTATTGTTTCATTACGTTTTAGTTTTCAGTGATTAATACAAAAATAAACCATATTTGACAGAAAAAAACTGCTTTCTGATGAGATTTTTCTTTCAAACACTCTGTTCTTTTTCTGATGAACACACACAGGAAGTGATCCTCATATCCTGGAACAAGGTTACACACTTATGCGTGGGTTTTTGCTAAATCTATTACAAATCTAAGCTGAAACAAAAAGAAAACAACATATGCTGTGACTTCATTTGCCTCTGTGACCTTAGCTGAGATAATCCCAGAAGAATCTGTCCCTAATAATAAAGAGCTACATTATAAACACACAGTCTGCAGCTGAGAGAGAGATAATCATGTTCGCTGTGTTGCCCGAATCAAGGTCACCGTCACAGATATATAAATCTAAAAACATTGTGTTCTATCAGTGTGTCCTCTTCTTATCATCAGACAGACAAAAACACACCTCTGTTGCTCTCCACACAATTACTGTATTCTATCATTTTGCTGTTGTTTTTCATGTGAGTTTCCTGGCGCGTCCATGGCTGCAGGTGTGTAAGTGTGTATTCCCTGAAACATGATGCAGTTCCAGGCACAGAGCCATGCAGTTCACAGGAGGCTAGTGGGAGGTTTATAGGCTCGGGATTGAGTATTTCTGTCTGTTTCTTATTGTGACGGGGATCCAATTTCTCATATTTGCTTTAATTTTCTTTCAAGATTTTGATTTTACAGGTAACTTTTTTTCCCTCAAAGATTCACTTTCCACCATCCCACCACTGAGTTTTAACCCTTTGATGCATAATGGTCACTACAGTGGACAGGTAATCAAAATTGTTATTTCTTTATTTTTGCTATTAAGCACAGCTGTTGAAGACTTTATTGCATTTGAGCCCCTCCATTTGGACTTCAGTAAGTCGAGCCAACATATTTCATGTTCAGAATGCACGCTGTCCACTGCGATGGACATGTAATAAATTATTTGTAAATTAACAAAATGTTTTAAAAAATATTTGTTGAAATTTGTTTCATTCACACTTAAAAATAAATGAAAAAAATTGTTTAAAAAATCATGGTTGAAGATCTCATAATTCATGCATCAGAGGGTTAATCCCAACCATATTAATGATAAACATGGACATCCTCCGTGTTTTATAGCAATAAATATTTTTGGAAAATAGCAATTTAGTTTGACAATAATTTGCTTGAACTACAGAAAATGCAAGTTGGACCACTTAAAAACATCTGAGTCTCATTTTTATTTAAGCATTGACCGTTTTCAAAAGAAAGATAAGAACTTTCTCATGTCCAAGATGACTGAAAGCTGTTTTTGAAGCCCAGAGACAGTTAAACTTGGAAAATGAAACAATGCAGTTATTTAAAGAGACAATCAGTAGTTTTTACCTTAAATCTCTGGAAACATCCATCAAAATGTTGTTTAATACTATTGGCAGCTTTGTACCAAATAACCACAAAAATCAGGTCTAAAGTCCACAGGGCGCGGGTCTAGCGTCTTTGAGGGAAACCATGGGTGGTTGTCGATGCCAAGGAACCTCTGATGCCTTGGCCCCGTCCCGGTTGCCTAGGAAATACGTCATCAGGAACCACCAAGACGTGTTCCAATGTTCATGTTCTGTTGAGGCGTGGGTCTCCGTTTGTTAGCCGTTTAGCTAGCTGAGCGAGGATACACGGGAGATGTCTTGTAGCCTAGCCTTGGTCAAAGATTTCCCAGAATACACCGCAGTATTTTCAAAAGGATGGCGGATCAGAAGCCGGCAGCTACTTTGGAGGCAAATTTCAAGTTTAAAAGTAAGTCAACTAATTTTAAATGTTTATTTTAGATCCAATAAGTTTTCTATTGTTGGTTGGTTGCTTATTAGTTGCAGCTTTGGTGGCTAACGGGTAGTAACTCACTTATATATTTAATTTAATAAACATATACACAATTTAAAAAGTAAAGGGCTCATTTTGTATTCATATTCAAACTAATACGTATAAAATATAACGTTATCTCCGGTGTCACGTGACGTTACTTGACTGCCGTGGAAGTCGTGGTTACATGATGGAAGTCTGATCCATTTAACCGTTTTCTTTGACCAAGGAAGGAGAGTGTCCTCATAAGCAAGGAGCCTGGCCTTGCAAAACATCGCCTCGCATGGTGAGGCGATGTTTTGGCTGCCTTGGGGTCTTGTGCCTGTCAATGACGTCACAATAGAAGACTGGCTGGATGTGCGACTGACTGAAATTACGTTATCACGTTCAAAAACATTTAGGCAGAAAGAAACATTAATTTTAAAAACAAAATTGCTAAAATCATTCAAAAACTTAAAAGAACAGATTTGAACCCCAAGCTGGAAAGGGCCTGAAAACTACAATCAGCATTGCATTTTCTCATGGAATTACCCGAAGGACCATCAAAACCTGAGGAGTCGCATCAAGGTTGCATGCTTTCTGCTCCACGGGTAACGTTTACTATGTTTTTAACTGGCGACAGTCAGGAAGATGTGGTGTAAAACTACCCTGACATCTATGTGTGTTCTGCTACCTAGCAGCAGGAAACTACATGCTGCCACTTTAAAAGAAAAGGTCTGGAAATGATCACAAGAGTGGGATATTTTCTGCCTCATTTTACAACATCGTAACCAAGCAAATTTGGTGTGGCAGTGTGGTTAAATCCGATTTCATCACTTCCATCTATTTTGGGAGTTCACTTTTTTTCATGAGTTCACAACAGTTGAAGGGAGTGTTGATTAAAGGGTGAGGGATTTTAGCTCTATATGAAAAACATGTTTCAGGGCACACTTTGTAATAAAAAGGTACCTTCTGCTCTTGCAAAACCTTATAAATTAGAAACTTTCATAAAAAATATCTTAACAGTTAGAAAAGTCACTACAATTTGTGGCATGATGTGTTCCGATGCTGTTTGGTATTTATGTAAATTAATGAAAACAATCAATATGTTTACTTTTAATCAATACATTTGCAGTGGTCTCTGGTAGGAATGAATGCCTTGCAAGTCGTACCCGAGGGGAAAAAAGCCCAGGAGTGCCTGGATCAGCACGGACAAGTCTACTGCAACAGAGTGGCAGCAGACAGCAGGATTTTGAGTCTAATTTCTTGATATTTGGACATCTTGCCTCAGACTGGATAACAGCAAAGTGACTCTACCACTAAGTCTGTTAGCTCTGCGACATGGATGTTTTATGTCCACAGATAGCACACGCTTGGAGGAGGTTTTGCCTTGTGGTGGAGTTGCTAATGCTAAGGGCTAGCCGAGATGTTCAATGCTGTTTCCTGGACGCTAAAACGAAATGCCTTCCCCATCGCGAGCCAAAATGGTTGAGCGCAAGCAACCGCTTGACGTAGAGTGGCTTTTCAATGTCCGTTTTCCATCACAAGCTAGGAAACAGGTGTAGGCGAAAGTTTTCATGTTCAGCCTGCATGAAAAACTCAGAGTAACTGATTATAATAAGAAATAATAATTAAAATTTGTTTTTCAGTGAACCGCACCTTTAAAGTTCATATCTCTAAAGTTTTTGTTTGGAAGCATGCAGGTGTTTTTTTTTTCTGAAACCAAAGGATACTGTACATCTTTGCAACTGCTCTGCCCAAGATCCAGAAAAATATGTAAAAGTTCACTGACGCACTCAAGTGCAACGAGTGTTGCAAAGTGAGAATATTTCAAACTAACAAAAGTTTTGATGCAAGAAAACCAAAGCAACAAAAGTGCAACCATACTAGAATCATTTGTGTATTTAAGGGGGAAATGATGCAACAAGGAAATTAGATCCAGCCAATAATAATTTTTACAATAAGTCCACTAATTATCTTAATAATTAAATGTTTTTACAGTTTAAAATTAAACCAGTTTCTTCGTCTTTGGAGATTTTTAAATATCTTGGATGATATTTTTGTGCATTGTGCTTTAGATGCATTATGTGAATCCACTAAAATTAAGTCAAATGTGAAATTGTTACCCAGTAAAAAACATCAAAGATCACAACACACCAACTGTGCATTTCACACAGTAATAAATGACGCTTCAGTTTGGTATTTGCAATAAACAACTTCATTGTTACATGGAAGCAATATCCACAATTTAGCAACAAAACAAAGAAAAAAATGACAACGGAAAACAAAACATCTCACCCAGGATGAAGATAATGACGGATATGGAATAAAAACATTACAAATCAACATAAAAACTCACACTATTATACAGCTTTGTGCCCAAATTTACAGAAGAATAAAGGAACATCTAGTTGTTGTGAGCAAAGCCAATCTCAACATTTCCAACACACTGACTAGACACGTGTCCGCAGCGAACATAGAACAGAAGGAACATGGCACGTCTTCTCCAAGACAAAATAAACAAAGAGGAACTGATTTGTAAACCAATGGTGGCAAAAGTTTTGATTCTATCTGCTTACCCCTTGTTATAAAATAGTTTCTGCATTTTTGCTAAACTTTCTGGAGCTCTAGAAACATCTACAGCAACCATTTTAAACTATTTAAAAGAAAAGGAATACAGTTTATAAATTAGCTTTATCTTTTCTAGAGAGCCTGCATTTGGTAAAAATAGACATATTTATAGTTTCTGTGCTGCATCCAAGGCCTCTTTCTGATTAAACAATAGCTCATAAAGCAAAGGCTGAAAACTCCACCCAGTTCAGCTGAGCACACCCACCCGAGGAGAGCCTGTGGATGGGAAACAGCTGTAGAAAAATACTTCTCTTTTACTTCACTACTCCTTTAGTGCTGTTCTTTTTACTGGATCACCCAAGACAAATGCATGGAATAGTCATCATAGTCCAAACCAATACTTTCACATTTTAACAAAACACCAGCAATAATTGTACTTTTGAATAAAGTTTCTCTGTTTAGGGAAAGTAGCTTATAATACGACCATTTAGAGAAAGCTTTGTTTTAGATTATGTTCTCACTTTCTGTGAGTGATTAGGTAAATAAAATATAATCAACGTTATGCGCTTTGGTTGGTGAAGCCAGGAGGAACAAATGTACAGGAAGCAGAAAGTTGCCGGTGTTTGAGAAACAATGTGAAAGGAATCATTTCTCACAAAATCATCTTTGCTACATGTTTTGGAGCCCTGGTTTGTTGTGATTTCACAAAAAAAATAAAAAAAAATAAATACATACATACATAATCTATCATTTAATTCAAATGACATAAACTTAAATCAGAGAGAATTTCAGTGCAATGCAATAAACAGACAACCCCTAAAGAGTGTTTCTTGGAGCTACATCCATCTAAAGAAAAGAATCCAGGGCCTTTATGTATGAAAACAAAAAAAAAATCAGCATTTGGTTTGGTTTATTGTCTCCTTTGTCCTGGTGAAATCCATAACCTCATGCAAAAACTACATTTAAACGCAGAGCCTTGTGCATGAAAAGCATGCTGTAACATTCACCAGATGGCCACACTGATGAGCAGGCATTGGACCGCAAGTGCAAATCAAAACACACACACACACACACACACACACACACACACACACACACACACACACACACACACACACACCTGCACTGCACATGCATACAGCCAAGCACACAGAACAGAGAATACACCATGCTGATAGTACAATCCAGCACCAGAGGCACGGCACCGTCGGAATTTGCCCGTTTGTTTTGGCTGAACTGTGAATGCAAAGTATTTTGGGGGGTTTTTTGGTTGAAGGAGGAGGTGAAATGAGCATGGCAGACGTTTTTGCTCCATTGTTAAAAGAGAATTTATGTGGGTTTGTGTTAAAATGTGCCAATGGTTCAAGTTCAAAACACCGGAGGGAGCTTTCACGACTGAAGAGTCTGCAGAATGTCGGATTGTTTACTTCCTATTTATAAAATCGTTGATTCACTAAACCATTCAGACTTATAGAAAAACAGTAGGTGTGTTGTGTATGGTTCTCTCAGATCATTCTTGTAAAAAGCTAATTAAGAACCTTTATAAATGGGTTCAAACCTTTAACTAGCATCTGGCCAGGCTTTGACTGTTGACGAGTAATTGAATATTTGCAAAGGATTTTAAAAAAAGGTCTCAAAATCAATTTCCCTCTGGGATTAATAAAGTATTTTTGAATTGAATTGAATTGAATTGAAAGCATTCATGAAAGTTCTAATTCTAACCAGCCTGGGATGCTGGTGATTGGATGCTGGACCATGTTGGACCAGCACCAAACACAACACATGCTGGTTTTTCCATTAGGGCAAGCTTAAACCTGTTCTAAATGTTTATGCAATAATAATTTCTTCGTAGAATACTTGCAGAGGGCCCGTGGAACTTGACTCAAACCCTTCCTGATTTAGTTTTTGTGAGTCTTAAAGTAGAAAAAAAATGTGGAACAACTTCGGTTTCAATCCTTTAATTGTAAATTAAAGGGAAATCAGGGATAATTATGAAACTTTGTGATGCATGATTGCAATTGTTTGAAATGATGTCATATGTGTGAATGTGTGTGTGAATGAGTGGATGACTGATTGTGTTGTGAAGCACCTTGGGGGTTTGTGGACCCCTAAGAAGGTGATATACAGAAACAGGCCATTTAACATTTACCATGCGTCCCAATATCCTCATTTAGAAAAGAATGTCGGCAGTTGTCACGGACTTCTGTTTAACTAAGACGTAACATGCTTTTTAATGCGATCGAAGCAGCGCTCATGACGTTTTTTTAACAAACAGCTCCTCAAAATGTCTGTTCTCTACAGTCCCTGTGCAGTCTGGTGATCTCAGCTCCAGCTCTAATGAAGAGAGGCTCCTGGAGCTCTGCATCGCTTCAGTTTATCATCTCAGCTGGTTCTGTTTACAAAAGTGAAACTTACTGCCGGTGTTTACTTTCATTTTCAATATAGCTGCAGGCAGTAACTCTCCATGTGATCATGTGTTGCAACACATTGTCACACCCAAGGCAGCTAAAACTGAAGAAGGGTGACCCGACGCTTTAGGGCTCCCACCGCGTTGGAACCAAACGCTTGGTCACCCTTCGTCAGTTTTAGCTGCTTTGGGTGTGAGAATGTGTTGGATCATGACACCTCTCTCTTTTGCACCAAGCCGTAATCTGCATTCACAACTCCAGCCTTGCGGTAATATTTCTAAGCGTGGCGGCCTGAATGTCACGAAATTTCCGCAATGCCATGCTGCCACGGCTCGTTCATAACGCACACCATAGCGGCAGTATTATGCAAATGTCCCAGCATGGTGTGTCTCAGGGCTATTGACAGTATTCCATGCATAGTAACGGTTGGAAGAATGTAAAGCAGAAGTTGGAGCCACAAAGAACAAAAATGCCTCCTAATGGCTGGTTAGAGTCAGCATTAAGTTTAAAGTCGTGCCCTCATCAACACAGACGTTTTCTTGGTAAATGGCCTGTGTTTGCATGGCCCCTTCCCCCCACAGTTGCTTTACAACACAATCAGTCACACACTGGTGATAATGAGCTACTTTGTAGCCACTGCTGCCTTGGGGTGGCCTGCCATACATGGGCACCACTGGTACTGCTGACCACTACCAGCAGGCAAGGCGAATTAGTGCCGTGTCCAAGGACACAACAGCAGCAGTCTCTGTTGGGAGCTGGAATTGAACCTGCAACCCTCCAATCACTGTATAACCCTCTCTATCTCCTGCGCTACTGCCATCTTGACTGAAAGATTAAAAATATAATTTTATTATGTCAGCTGTACAAATTCATCGTGAAACCAAAAGAAAATGTGCACACTTATCTTGTGTCTCCAGTTAGTCGCCAACAGATTCAGCCCAGTAAGATGGTGGCTTTGAACCAAACCAGTTAACCAAACTCTTGTGATACAAACTAAAATCATATAAGTACTCCATCATTTTGTAAATGCTTTGATAGAGAAAAAAAAGAAGAATGTATTTATTTTAAACAGAAAGATAAATGTGGGAGAAGAGGTAGGGTGGTGTTGGTTTGTTGGGGAAGGTGTAGCGTGGCATTCTTAGATTTAGTGCATTAGACAGATAAGGCTTCCCAAAAAAGGGACTAATGCAGCAACATGGGGCACAAGGAGGAGGTACAAGGGCAACAATCAGGGCAGAAAAGCACCACAAGCAAATTGAAAGGGCATCATTCACCCTCTTCATGTTAGCATTACCTTTGGTGTATGCAAGTGATATGATGGTATATGTTGTAAAATGACTTTTCTTGCCTCATCTTGAATTAAAACGTCAATAGTTTTAATTTACTTGACCAACTATATGAATTAAACAGAGAATGTCATTAGAATTAATAAATTATCTTCAGGCTGTTGTTCACCAGAGAGAGTGAAGAAAGTTCAGCACTACAACTACACAAATGCAAACTAAAGAGGAATGGGTAAGCCGACAAGTCAGATGGGAAGTGGCAGACACTTATGAGTCAAAAGTGGAGCGAATGGATCCATGGAGCGTGAACAGATCTCTATCACGGATCCAGACTGCAAACCAATTTCTGGTTTATTACTTGTGACTCTGAGTAACTCACTGGGGATATGGTTTGATTGATATCAGGAGGAGAATACGGCGGTAAAAGGCTGGAGGAAGGGCTGCGCTGGAAAAGAGAAATGATGAGTGGAATGTGTTAAAAAATTGAAAAAAGGAGAGTAAATACTAAAGAGCAGTGCCTTGATTGACCATAACAAAATTAAATTGGGGGGGGGGGGGATGACTCATGAACGTTAAACCACACAGACACAACTTAAAAGACAGCATGACATTCCGTTTAATAAACCCTGCAGAATGACTGAATGTTTCTGCCTATTTTGAGTTTATTCTCTAATCCTTAATTAGACTGATGAGCAGACAAGATGAATCCTGCAGGTAGAGGGATTCTGAGTTTAATGCTCAGAAGGGAGTTGGGGCAACCAAAAAGAAAGGAACATACCTCAAATTAAAAAAATCATAAAACAAGAGCCTAAATAACAGCATGGATGTAAAGGTGGAGTTTTAGTGCACATAGAACAGACTCCACACATACGCAGGCAAAACGAAAGTAGAAACCAGACAGAACCAGAAAGACACAGTAGATGAAGGCACTATTGCAAGCAAAGTCCAAGTACTATTTGTCACACACACACAAAAAAAAATACATCAACACCCTTTTCCGTATCCTTTTTTATCCCTTAGGCTAGATAGAAACATGAATTTATTGTTGCTTTCTGGGATGTTTTTGAGAGAATATTTCGAGCACTTTTCCTTGATTTCTCACAAACATGACAGCGTTGACAGTTGGACATTGCTGCAGGAAGTATTTGGATTCTTCACGCTGTCGTCTACCTTTCCTGTCTGTCTTGAAACAGGAAGAAGAGATGCTGATTCATCAGTCTCATCTCCTCATCCTCCTCTCTCCTGTGTCCCATTAATCCCATAAATCTTAGCTAAACAGTTAAAAAGTTGCTCAGTACAGAATGCCACTTCTCAACACAGTGCAATGATACAAGACATATCTTATCGCCTGCTTTGTCAGCACCCGTCTAGCTGACCTTTCACTGTGTGGGAAGTGGAGTCAAGTGGCTGAATAATAAGTGGATGTGTGGAAACACTCATGACCTTGATCTCCACGTTTGTGTGGGAGAGGAGGACCAAACTAAGAAGTGAAAGACAAACTGTTCCACTGCTCAGAAACAAACTAGCCCAAGGGTTTGATACATAAACAAAAACACACGTGCAGGCATGCAAACACACACGCACACACACAAAACCAGTCGTGCACTCACGCTGTTCCCCCTCCCTTTCCCCAGGAAGCAGACACGGCAGTACATTCAAGGTGACACAAAGTCGGCCCCTTCAGAAATCCATCGGATCCTCCTCAGCAAGGCCGCTACTATCAATGGTTCTGCTTCCATCTTTTGATGGAATCCCATCACTTTCAGGCTTCGCCTTAGGAGGAGATGTCAGCTCAGACCCTCCATCTTGTGCACCCCACGAGTCAGTGGTAGGTGGGTAAAAATCATCATCAAAGCCGCAGAACCCTTCGTCCACCCCTTGATCGTAGCGCTGGTAAGTGGAGGCGTGAACCTCATTTTCTCTAGCGGTGATCTCCAGTGTGCTATTCCACATGCCATAGCCAAAGTAGATGAGAACACCTGAAGAGAAACACAAACACCTCAATGCACAACAAAAATTAAACAGAACAACGTATCTGGTCACATTTCATCTACAGCTGTTTGCTTGCATAATCAAAAGCCTGATTTCTTGAAGGAATGTACATCGCATCCATCATTTATAAATTGTCCCATAATCTTGAAGGAAATGTGATATTCTTGGTCTTGGCAAAGCGATTCCCCTCCAGGACAACAGAGGGCGCAGTGCTGTTCTGTGGTATCCTGTCATGTATCCATTCTAAGATAGGGCCTTTACTACTGCGTTCAAATTATGTATTATTTTTATTTTTATTATTTTTTTTGTATTTCATATACCGTTTAATACAGACCGTCCCTCTTTCTCCTCCACTTCTAAACCCACATTTCTCATGATTTCCATTTATGAATAAATGCTTGTTGCGCATTTTGGGTGAATAAAAGTTCAGATTTTCAGTTTTCCTGCAAGGCATTCTTCATGCTGCTCTGTGTCTGCTGCGAGATATCTTTAGCTCTCTATTTAAAAAAATTTTGTGAGAGGGCAATGGCAGTGCTGTCGATGAATTTAAAGGAAGCAGTGTTCTGGCCCATCACAATCTTGCGGTCTCCATCTTGTTTGATGGATGTTTAGAAAAGTGGGCTTGATTCTGTTCGTCCTTGCATGCCGGAGAGCCCTCCCAACACCGGATAATGGTGTTGCATGTTTCTCTACTGACACAGACCGAGATGCATGAATTAGACGTTATCTATATCCATCCATTTTCTATACATACTTATTCACACAGGGTTGCGGGGGCTGGTGCCTATCTCCAGCATTCGCAGGGTACACCCTGGATAGGTTGCTAGTCCATCACAGGGAAACACAGACACACAGGACAAACTGCCATGCATGCCCACACTCACACCTAAGGGCAATTTAGAGAGGCCAGTTAACCTGACAGTCATGTTTTTGGACAGTGGGAGGAAGCCGGAGTACCCGGAGAGAACCCACACATGCACAGGGAGAACATGCAAACTCCTTGCAGAAAGACCCCAGGCCAGGATTTCAACCCAGGACCCTCTTGCAGCAAGGCTACAGCGCTAACCACTGTACCACGTGCAGCCCGCTTTTATCTACAATGAAACACACTTTTAAATGTAAAAAGGACAAAGATGGAGTCATTTTTGTGTTTTCTATCTTTGTTAGTTCAATGATGGATAGTTGTAGAAGCTGGACCTGGGAGGTCCTTTACTGGGTTTGTTCCTACACGTCCTGTTTTATTGTGTTGTTTCAACTCTTGTTTCATTCTTGATTTCTGATGGTAATTGTCTCTAGTTATCACCATATGTGTGTCATTAACTTGGCTGTATGGATTCAAACCCTGCCTTTTCTATTTGTCTCATGTGTTCAAAATTCTTGCCTTTGTCATTTACAGATCTGCGTTTTTGACCACTGTTCAATTTTGGATTTGCATTTATCTATGTTCATTTGGATTTTTGTGATTTGACCTTGAACTGAACCTAATGAAGTGATTTTAGGTCTTTTTCTTCTGAGTGTTGCCTTTATGTACCATTACTAACAGTACAAATTGGCCCCGTCACATGAGTGAACTCAAGACTGGGACCTTCCTGCTGTTCCACCTGCTGATATAACATTTTGCCTTGAGTCTCCAAAGCATTTACATTAGCCTGCTGAGTCATTTTGTGGCTATTTCATGGTACAGAAAAGTAGGGCTCAAAAGGCATAATACTTGGATCAGTTCCTTTAATCAGGGCAAAGGTAGGGCAAAGGTCAAAGCACAGAGCTCCACAAAAACATTCAATCTAAAACACACCTGTAAAAGGTCTAAGGCTAACTACAAGCTAGCAACTGACCGAGGCAAAGGGCATGGTTCAAATACACCATGGATGCCCCAATCCAATCATGTGATTTTCAAAGGATCCAGAATCAGTTGGAAAAGATCGGCTAAAACCTTGAAAAACAAAAAGCACGACTTTTACATTCGTTCGGAGAAAGCAATTTTCAAATGTAATAAAAGTGGTTTTAAAGGAGAAAGGACTTTCACTTGTTTAGCGCCTTTCTGAGTCGGAACTCCAAAGTGCTTTACACTACAGTGAATCATTCATCCATTCATACACACATTCACACGCTGATTGTGATGAGCCAGAATGTCGTAACAGCAGCGCTGGGGCACATGACAGATGTGACCTGCACACCATCTTAATGGCCTTCTCACAAGCACCGCCATCACCAGTGGTCACCACACAAGGATGGTGAAGTGTCTTGCTCAAGGACACGATAGCAGAATTCCCTGCAGGGGACTGGGATCGATCAGGCAAAGCTCAGATTATTGGACAACGTACTTTAACTCTTGAGCTACTGCTGGCACCTTTGATTTTAACAAGCTCCACTACACCAATATTCACAGTTTCACAGTTGACAACACCACCATAACTCCATAAAATGTACAGTTTAGCAGAGGAATTCAGACACCGTAATATGTAGCTGATAGCAAACAGGCTAGCACAGATATAAGCGAAAAGGTCTGCAGTTGGGATGTATTTTAAACCGGACAGCAAAGGCAGTGCAACGGCCACCTATAATGTGTGCATACTGGGCATTTCATATGGTGAAAAAGGTAGAGCAGCGTTCAACACTACAAATGTATGCCACCTTCAAAAACCTGCTCTGTTGAAAACAGCAACGAGAATAAAAAAACAGAGCCAGATGACACTGAAACGTGTTAAAAACAAAAACAAAGAGAAACTGCCTCTGAACAGCAAAAATGCTAAGATATGAGTATTCGTCACACTGCATGACTGTGTGTGGTTACACTTGTCTGGGTTGCCAGTTTCCTTTAGTCGCGATAAGAGTTGCTTTCTCATCCCAACTTTCAAGATGCAGTTGTGCAGGTGTTTTGTAGGAAAACGTGAACCTGCTAGGCACAACATGCTGCGCATGCCCTATTATGGTAACATACATTTCTCAAACTGCCACGCACCTACCCTGTGGACCACTTTTTTGGCCATCTTGGAAACGGTGTGAAAACAGTTACTATGTTTATTTTGTGATTTCAAAGCCAGCAGCCAACATCAAATAACCAGTTTAAACCAGATAAAAACATGCAGATAGTTTTATCAGGGGTACAACACGACCTGGGATTTTGAGCGTAGTAAAGAAATATCATCAGGTTTTATCTTTGAGGAGACCCCTAATGTAACCACTTAGGAAATTTCAAGTAATTACATGAGTTAATTAAGGCTTCCTGCATAAATGAATTACTCTGTTTATTATTTTAAAATGTTTGTGGCGAGAGATGAAAATGTAAAACTAGGTTTATAATTTTAAATTAAAGGTTCAATATGGAACACGGACACCTAGTGTTTAGAGGTGGTAGCTGCAACAGAAAACATTTTCCAGCCGTCGGGGTGTTGGTTCACTGCTGACACGTTCTGTGACCAGCCAGCACCATGTTCAGTGACGAATCGTACAGGGTAAGGACTAATTTGTCAAGTCTGCCATTTTACACAGTCGCAGCCTTGCCTTGCCGAGCGCACTTTTTAGCGCAACAGTGCCCTCTGATGGCTGGTAGATGTAAACATAAATCCAGCGCCGTGCCCAACAAAATCAAATTTTGACTTTTTTTAAAATTTATTTAACTTTTAAAGAAAGAACTGTACATTCATTCTGCACACCTCTAAGTGCCCCGTGGAGGTATAATTATTTTTTTTAAATCACATGCTAACGCTACTTTTGAATACCAAGTTTGCATGTTTTTTTTCAACACATTTGCAGTGGTCTCTAGTCAATGTCTTGTGAGTAAAATCTCTTTGGGAAAAAGATGTGGTGCTCCTGTTTCAGTATCTAAAAATGAGCCTCAGCAGAGAGAAAACCACAATATTTCCTGATATTCAGACATCTTGCCTCTGATTGGCTAACAGAAATGCTACTCAACCAATGATTTTTTTTATTTTGCAATGCTAATGTTTTATCTCCAAAAATAACACAAGCCTGAAGGTGTTGCTGATGCCAACAGTTAGCGTCTACTAGTTGAGATGTGCTCTATTCTCTTCTGGAAACTAAATCAACACTGCCCTGTTGACATAATGATGTGCAAATATCAGGCTTTTCTAATCCGAATGTTTCCTCGTTTATTTTCCAACGGTTGCTAATGCACAAAATAGGGGTAGAAGCATGGAGGTGCACCAAATGTTTCTCCATAAAGTATAGAAGTCCATTTTCACTTTTAGGCTGCATGTGAAATTAAGAGTGACTGATTATTTTTCAAAAACAAGAAGTAATTTTTTTTCTCAATGTAGTTAGCCTTAAAACATTTTAAAGACTTAACTTTTTGAAGGCTTAACTTTTATCCCCCCCCCCCCCCCCCCCCCCAAAAAAAATCCTTCAGAGAGACAACTAACACAGATCACGTAAATCTTGGGAAAGGGAGAGAAAATTACCTTTTTTATTTTTTTTTACTGTCATGCTAATAATAAAAAGACAAACTTAATTTAATGAAAATAAAAGCAGTGCCTTTTGCATGAAATATATTCTAAGTTACTGTTTAATATGAAGCAAACACATGATTTATTAAAAGGGATGCTTACCCACGAGGCACCAGATTGAGAATCGTATCCAGGTGATGGCTGAAAGTTTAAGCATGAGGTAGATGTTGACCAGCATGGCTGAAGCAGGTACAAATGGCACACAGGGTGCCATGTAGGGCAGCCGCTTTGGATTCTCAGGCTGTTGAAGGATGATGATTATCAGCAGGGCAATAATGATGATGAGGATGATTAAGAGCAGCAAAGCCCACCATTGGCCCTCTTCTATGCTGCTTGCCCCTGAAGAAAAATGAAAAGAAATGAACACATGCTCATCACAGGGTAAATTTGGCATTGCTCACCAGTTCATACCAAAGATGATGAAGGAGCAGAAAGCAAAGAAGAAGATGAAGAGAAGAAGAACACACACAGTCACAGTTTTCCCTGTAACCAAAGTTGGCCTGTCCATTTTTCCAGGGAGGCCAAGTCGAATCCTCAATGTGTAATAGCGTGGACCAATCAGCTTCTTCAGTCGCCGGGACAACCCTCCCTCTGACTCATCCGCCTCAATGCCTGTGGTCATATCTACTGTACCATAGTTAGGGTGGCCAGCAGTGTACGTGTTTTTGTCTGGTTTGCCAATCAGCATCTCGTTGTCACCAAGCGATGGCAGGTTTTTGGCTCCGCAGGTGTTCTGGGGTGGACCTCCATATTCGTCAGCCTCACTGGTTGGTGAGCAGGCATCTTTCTCACATTCGGCCAATATACCTTCCTTTTTCTTCTTGTTCTGCTCCTCTGAGAGGAAATTCACAAACCCATGGATGTCACCTTCAGGTTGGTAGCGTAAGAGAAGTACGCAGAGACTCACCTGTGGAGGATAAGGTGGAGCAGTTTGTTTTATGAATAAACAGAAACACTTCAAACCCAAAATTTAGAACAGGTTTTAGATGTTTAGCCCCCTTGTACCCCATTGAGACCCATCCGCAAAATGTGATCAATTAGAATGTTAATGGGTTGCACCCTAACTCTACTCATCAGCCGGACAGTCCTACAATAATCCTACTCAGTGTGCCTATGATTGCACCATGCCCTGGGCTCTACCCTGGCAAGACTCTTTAGGGTTGCATCCTAACGCAGATGAAATTGAAGATTTATTGAATGGTGTCAGCTCAATTTGTCAATAACCAAGTCACACTGGTGAACATGGGCCTCATGTCATGAATACGCTGCTGTAACCTTCTACCCAGGACCCCGATACACAACCTCAATTATAACAAACCACCAATATTTCACTAACAACGGTTTTTCCAGACTCAAAATCATTGTGGACTCACATCACAGACTTTGGAGTCCCCTGTGTTTTTATACACAACTGAAGACCAGCCTAGAAATTTAGACAAACTGCAGCAGTAGCAAAGAGATTTTGCTCTGCAGTTTGGTCTAGCCATGCTCCATTATAGCTTCATCAGGTCTGCCAGTTGTAGGTCAGGCCAATGACAGTGCTCTCTGTTTGTAGAGAGAAGTTGGGAGGGCTTAGAACCATTACAGCACAACTATTTTATTTTTATTTATTTTATTATTTTCAGGCAGAGATGCAATTGAGTAAAACTACAATAAAGGCATAGATCCAGAAAGGAAGACATTAGACATCAACTTTGGAAGATTTAAACGTGGGCTTTTCTTTGAAACATGAGCAGACAGAAGTACTTCTATTTTCTATGGTGTACAGCGGACTGTCTTGTTGACAGCTTTTCATCACTGTGAGTATGTCATATTGTTCATTGCTCTGATTGGCCCTGGCACTGCCCAACTTCATGCAGAGGCAGTTTGTAGAACCACTGTAGATTCTGTCCCTATGACATCTATCAATGAGTTGTGGCCAGACCATATATTACTAGGGCAGCAGTAGCTCAGGAGGTAGAGGGGGTTGCCTCATGATCTGAGGATTGTGGGATCGATCCCAGCTCTCGTCACCCAACTTGCCTTTGTCGGTGGTGGTCAAAGGGGCCAACTGTGCAAGCGGCATCTCAGCCTCTCTCAGACCGCCCAGGGCAGCTGTGGCTGCATAGTAGCTTACTATCACCATCAGTGAATGTGAGAGTAATGGAACGCACTTTAAGTGGCTAGAAAAGTGCTATATGTAATCCATTTTTTATATATTTTTATTTACATATACAAGGTGGCTTGCCAAGCTAGAAGATCACATCAAGAGCCTTGACTATTTTTGTTTTGGTTGATATTTTTCATTCTAGCTAAGCCTTCCAGTGTGAAGGGTGTCTTTAGTTAGTCGCCCTTTGAAACAATTTGAAAATTCCCAACGCCTTCAAAAGCAGATCAGATCTTCAGGTTTTGTTGCTGAAGTAGTCAACTTTTGTATAAATGATGCATCAGTACCAGTAAAAACAAGATAACCAAGGACAACATTTGCTGTAACGCATTTGTAGCTAGATTTACAACATGACTCACTAGTGTATAGGCTAGCAAGGTTCCTATAGACATCATTTCAATGAGGTCTCTAAGGCTGACCAGAAGAGACAGGAGGGCAGCCAGGAAGCCTGAAACCACACAGGCAACTGCAGGGGTCTCCGTGTATGAAGACACATGGGCCAGGAATCTACAGACAACACAACCATAGAAAAACTCAGATAAATACAATGTGACTTTTTAAAATCATAAAAGCAAGCAGAACTAAACAAGGACTAACTTAAATAGAAGGCCATCTCCTGCCATGGCATAGATGACCCTGGGCATGGGGAACAGGGACCCCAACAGGGACACAGTGAGTCCAGCTATAGATCCCACAGCAACGATGTATTTTGCAAACATGCAGCCATGAAGGGAAAACATCTCCATCAACGGGGCATCTGCATCAATTTCGGCATATGGTACCATCAGTGTCAAGATCACAGAGACCTGGATGAAAGATACGGAAGACACCGTTGGTTAATAAAAATGTTGTCATATTTTGAAAGGAAATGATTTATTGTACTTGTATTTTTGACAATGGATTAAGTGCGTTAAAATATGTGCATGTTTGGAGATATAATGTATTAAATAACAAAGCAGCGGTCCACACAAATAACCACTTTCCATAAGAAAACAGTTACGTAAAAGATGGAGAGAAAAGCCAGAACTTTTTTATTTTGTGCAATGTGTCATTTTGCAAGTTTCTATCAAAAATTGGTCACATAAAAGGTTTCTGACAAGATCACAACTCAGCTTTTCCAACATTTTGTGTTTGACCTTGAACGGAGTAGATGAACTAAATACTCATTAGTCATGCTTTTCTCTCTGTGTGTGCACATGCGTCCATTTTTATCCCTTTTTGATGTGCGAGATCATGCTGTGCCGTCTGTCTCAAACACTGTGAAGCTAAGGAGACAGTATGCATGAACACTGCTAACAGAAAAATATATTTTATATTTTAAAGAGGATCATTGTCTCGCTGCAGTTTTATTGATCATTGTGTTTTCAGGTTTGACACTGATCATGAAGAGTAAACAGAATCATAAAGTCCCATGTTGTGTTTTACTGAAGACATTTGTGCTGCTTTTTCAAATATGCTGTGTTGAAAGATAAAAACAAGCAAGAATGTACCAGAACAGCGCACTACCATCACCACATTGTACAGCCATCATATTCATTCATTGACAGCTTTTTTTCATCTTTAGATGATGTTGAACCAACTACAAATAAATTGTAATGCCAGTCACATGTCTCCAGTGACCTGTGATAGCACTTGCACCTATCTCTGATCATTTTGATGGTCGTCACATAATTTTTGGCCTCATGTGTGTGTGGCCACTGTGTGGGCGTCGGAACGAGCCCTCGCACCGTGAGAACAAACATCCCAGCTCTAAAGCCGATCTTCATCTACGTATGTCACACATCACGTGACCAGGAAGCAGAAAATCCATGTGTTAGGAGATCGTTTTGGGCCGCTGCTGTAAAAAAAGTGAGGTGCGAACCAGAAAAGCTTCAGCCAATCACAATTCAGTGACGGATTATGAAAGAATGGATAATGCTCAAAATGCGCGGATTCTTCCTGATGTAAGAGGTGAGCCTCCTCTTTGTTTTGTTAGTTTTGGCGACATCATAGAGCTCAATGTTTTGTGACTCTTAAAAAAAACTGTAAAAATGCAGAAAAACGCTGGCAGCGAAGGGCTTTTCTGATCAGGAAACAGATAGCAGTAAATGAGTTAAATATGATTTTTTCTTCCTGCCTGACTTTGTTTCAGTGAAGTTCTACCAATGCCCACTCCAGTAACAATGCACCTACATGAGCGTCTTAGTCAAATTTGCTATTGTGTTGGCCTTGATATTGCGGTGATCATCTTGTTTTGCCATGTATTGACAATGGTTTGATTCCTGGTGTCGTCAGTAATTAATTTAGCTAGCTGATATATATATATATTGTCTTATTGATTATTTTCTGCAAACTATTTTGTGTCTCTAAATATCTTCGGATTTGGTCATTTACTGGCTAAATAAACAAAGTATAAAAGAAAAAATATCAGTCCTTTCATTTTACAGTTTACCATTAAAAGACTGAAAAAATAATATTGGCAGTGTCTTGTCCCCAGTGCAGAAGTAAGTGGCCAGAATATCCACTCTGGTACCGGTGGAGGTTTAAAGCAGTCATCTGTGACATGAAGGTCACATTCTCAACTGGAGAATGGAAGCAGCCGGCCTATGCCCGCAACTAGTAGAAAGTGAGCACTAGCTTCCTACTTCTGGGGGAGAGGGGTTTCAGATCTGAAAATAGCTTCAGGGGGAGGAGCAGGGCTTGATGATGCACTTAGTTTCCATCAAGGCTTCTGCAGGATTTTCTAAATAAAATTCAAAAGTTGCAGCTGCGACAGGAAAATGCATGAATGTAGGCCAAAACAAGTTTAGGGGTATTTTTCATAAGGAAATAAATGTACCACATGGTAAAAAGGCTCTAAAAAGTGGATTTTCCATGATGTGGCCCCTTTAAAGTTTCCAGTAAAGACATGGATGAGTGAATTTGGTGTGGAGGAACTTGACATTTTTGCCCTTAACGTGTCAAAACACCAGAGCTTTATTACAAAAATGCATTTAATGGTAAAAAATAATAATAATAATAATAACAATTCCCATTAAACAGTTTCAGCTCCTCTGAGATTAGTTAACAGGAATTTGTTCATGGGAATTTTGGACCAGAACATACACTGGTGTAGCATGCCCTTTTAATCATCCCCAAAAGACCACCGGTAAGAGTTCGAGTTCAGAACAGAAAGAATTTCAACCCAGGATCAGAAAGATGATCTCACATCGTTCATTCAAGTTACAATGCAACGTCACTAAAAAAGAACATGAGACATTTAATATGCAGAATCATTTCAGTCATGTTATTCATTAAATAAAGGCAGTTGGAAGATCTGAACAGGAGAAGGAATTTTTTACAAAATGCCAACAGGTCAAATCAAAAAGGTTAAGGAAGCCTTGGAGTGAGGGAGAAGCTTGATGGTGGAGGAACAGATGTGGCTGAGAGCAGGGGGGTAGCAAGCTTCTCAAAAGTGTGGCAGATGTTGAGATTTTTCACACACACACACACACACACACACGTGCGTGTGCGCGCGCACGCTCGCACGTGCGCACATGTAGTTACACGACCTATGTGCATTATCCTGAAATCATTAGAAATACTACCTTAAACGTATTTGGAATGCAATTTTAAAATTAGATTATTTTTTCTCATTCATTTGGCTTTTTTTTTTTGTTTTGTTTTTTACTTGTTTTGTATGAAGCTGAAGTTGGTTCCCCGTTTTAGTTTTCAATTCAGAAAGGTCAATTCTCAATCATTTTTTCCACCCCAGTATCTCTAATCTACTGTAATTATGAAATGCAAAATGTTTTATTTCATAGGTGATCAGTCGGAACTCTTGAAATAAATGTTCTTACTCATATTCAACAGTCAGTAATCAATCTTAGACTGAGAAAACTTTGCAGTTGTTCATTCATTAGCTGATTAGAGTGTGACACTTTGAGCCTAGAACATAGAACTTTTTCACATTGTCAGACATTTTAAATGTGAGATTTTCATAAGCTTTAAGCCATAATCATCACAATTATGTCAAATAAAGGCTGGGATATCTGGATTTGCATGGAATGAGTCTATCTCATTGCTTAGTTTCACCTTTTAAATTCAAATACTGTAATAAATCAACTTTTGCACCATATTTAAACAGTTTCACCTGTAGATGCAAAATTAAAAGTGCTGAGATCTGCTTTCTTTGGGCTTTCACAAAACAAATAAGCATTAAAGTTCAGAAAAACTCTAGTCCAGGTTAGAAGAGTCTAAGTTTTGTAGTTTTAGTATGAGATCAGAGTAAAACTGGTTGGAATAGCTCTTCCTGGCTCTGAAACTAAAACTGGACCAATTTCAGCTTTGTGGTACATCCTGATAACTTTTTGTGATAATTTAATCTTTTGTTCTTCAGTAAGAGAAAGATAATCACAACCTTTGAGATGATGCATATTTAGGGGTAGTGCTCGTAACTTTCACTAAATAATTTGGCTACCCGAGTAACCTACCAAGAGTTGATCTGCTCAAAGATGTTTGAGCTGAAGGAGGCTGTAGTTCTCCTGTGGTTAGAACAGAACGCGCTCAGAGCAAGCTTGTGATGAGCCCATGTGATCTCACTGCTCGGGCAGTGCAGAGCAGCAGGAGAAACGCATGTTAATGATTGACTGGGCTTGAATATTTCACATAACACCGGTGCACAGAAGTGCAGGTTTCAATGGTCAACAGGAGAGAGAGGCGGGAAGGGAAAACACATCAAGAGAAACACGGAAGGACCGAAGTGATAGCAAAGTATTTTGGCTAAACTGCGGGAAAGTGTAAGTGTTTAACCTCCTCACTAGAAAAACGTCCCCCACGGGTGTGACGCCCATGGCTGAGTGAAGTTTGAAAGTCGATGCAATTTTTGCCTGAGGCAATGCCTAAAAATCCCTGATTTCTGATTGGTTCCTGTTGTGCAGCACCCACAGCAACAACCAGTCAGTGTACCCTGAAAGCTGTGTGACCTGAATACATGAATATTGTGGATAAATTCAACCTTTTTACATTTACAAACAGTTAAGATGTCTCAAAAATTCAAACACTGTTATCATTTTGTCACGTAGATCAGGTGAAGTTGAAACAAACGATCGATCAAATTAGCTGAGAAACCTGTGTGGGGCCTGCGTGATAGTCTAAAATACTCCAGCAGAAGGATGATTCAGCTACTTGATTAATGTCAGTGGGAGTGAGGAAACTCACAGAAACATAGGCAGTGAGGCAGGTGATGAGTGAGGCGGTGATGGCATAGGGAATGGAGGTGTTGGGACTCTTGGCTTCTTCTCCTGTTGTAGCAATGATGTCAAACCCGATGAAGGCATAGAAACAAGTAGCAGCACCCTGCATCACCTGCAACACGCATTCAGTAAAATAATTAATGGTTTGTATAAATAATACAGAAGGATTTTGTGTGTGTGTGTGTGCGTGCGTGCGTGCGTGCGTGCGTGCGTGCGTGCGTGTGTGTGTGTGTGTGTGTGTGTGTGTGTGTGTGTGTGTGTACACATACTCCTGACCACCCAAAGGGTAAAAATCTTCCCTCATCCCAGTTCTCTCCATTGACAAAGAAGAGTCCAGCGATCATCATGAACACCCACACAATGAGGTTGATGATGTTCAGAGCGTTGTTGAAGCCAATGGAGTTTTTTACTCCTAAAGCCACAATCACTGTCACCAACAAGGCTATTAGCAGGGCCAGTAGGTCAGGATATGACTGTTCTCCTTTACCTAAAGGAGATACACACACAGTTTAGAAATGAAGTCATTTCAATAAACAAGGGAATTCAACAATATAGTCATATTTACTCCGTTGACCCATGAAATGCCCAAACCGTACAGAAAATGTTAAAGTAAACTAGTTTACCATGGGAAACATCATAAATATTTAAGTTACAATAAGAAACAAATTTTATTAAAAAATCTCCTAATTTTCCCGCATTTGTCAAAAAATATAGTGCAGAAAAACTATTTACCGGTAATTGCATTTTTCCCAGGAATGTTTTCTAGTTTAGAAAAAAGTATCTTATAAAACTGGAAGATAACATGAGGTTATTATAAAGATGGACACAGGAATTCTCCAACAGGGCCATTCAAAAACCTGCCGTGTCTCCACCATAAATGTGTTTAAATGCTGTTAATAGGAACGGCTTTAATTGTAGCCCAACCATAGAACAAATTTTATAATAAATTCATGATGTTTAGCATCACTAAAAATTATTACTACTTCACATGTAACTTTACAAAAGCACAAGCAGTCGAGCTGTGTGTTTGGAAACCAATGAGATGTACTTTCAGCTAAATTCCACCCTTCCCTTGGGTGTGGAGGAAATAATCAACAGCTGGAAACATCAGCTTTCCAGTCGAACATGGAACAGTGCCATGTGACCACTACAGTGCCTGCTAGATTAGCAGGAAGTAAGCAATGGGCTGGGAATTTGGGTTTGTTTGACTTTGGCTTAGGTTACTTTGGGTCAGGCAACAGAGCTAATCCAGCCACTGACTGAGATCAGAGGTGAACAGGAAGAGCTTGACAAATCAGCGACACCCAGACAGCATCTTGTAGAATCTTCTGTCTGGCTGTAATATGTGTTGCATGAATCATTTGAAATGTCATGATGGCACTGCTGCTGTTATGTCACGCCGTCCAAGATAAGCAATGGTGCAAAAAGAAAGAAAGAAAATAATTTAATAAAACTTGGTTGAGTTCCCAGATAGAGGTAAAATTTCACCATCAATATTTTTCTTAAAATTTACAAAAATGGGATTCAACAAGACCGGGGTCACATTTTCTTGGATAAACACTTTTGATTTTTAACGGCAATGTTTCTTTTTAATGCTGCCCAAACAGGTAAAAGGAAGCCATGTTTGTGTGCAAATGTTGAATAACACAGTTAACAACATCAACCTTTTGGAGTCACATCTTCTGCCCTCGAAACATTACCTTTAAGAATCTGACTCTGATTATTTATGTTTCCATGCCAGAAACAAGGGCAAAAACAGATCATCCAGGTGGACAATAACCCCAGAAAAAGGCCAGAGAGGCAGTCATTTTGAAAATACCTGGAACCTTTGGATTAGTGGGAGAGAGCTTGACATTGTTTGGTTGAGTATCCCAAACATTCCCAATGACAATCGAGTAAATATGACCTTATTAAAAAAAAAAATTAATAAATAAATCTATTTCTGTCCAGCTGAAACACTTCACCAGCTAACGAGAACCATCACAGAAGAACTAAACTTATAGAAACTTTTAATATTCAGAGTACTAGAGAAAATGTTTGGATGTTGGAAATGTGACTTCAGTTCTTGGATCCCTAAATTTTAGAAACAATATTATAGAAAAATGTAAAATTCTACTCAAAAACACCACAAACTGGAGTCTACTAAATAAAGTCCTCTCCAAACTACCAAAAAGAAGCTGTAAACCATGGTCTTAATCCGTCTTGCTGTGTCATCTCACCTAGGCCATTGAGCGTCCCGAGGTGTGAAATCATAAAGTTGCTGATGCTGTGATTGGCCAGCGAGTCTGCCATGCTGCTGAGAGCCGATGCGCCGGCTGCCGTGCCAATCAGATACTCCAGAATCAAGTTCCAGCCGATGAAAAAAGCCACACACTCACCCACGGTCACGTAGCTGTATGTGTATGCTGAACCAGTGGTCTTAGGCACGCGCACACCAAACTCTGCATAACACACTCCTTCAGGAAAGAGGAGACGCGCATGCATTCATTAAATCATTGACAGTATTATTACAGGATCAAGAGGCTTGGTGAAAGGAAATGATTGCAGCATTAAGGTTATTCTAAGATATCCCCAGAGGGCCTTTCAAATTACAGCTTTGCCTGTGTAATGTCCATGCCCTTGCAATAAGTGTACGCTTACCAAAAGGGTCTTCATAAATCTTTTTAGGATAATGATACCAATGTACCCTTTAGACTTCTATTGCTTTAAAGTGTGTGTGGGTGCTGAAGAGACACAGGAGGATGTGTGCACTCTCACCTGAAAGTATGGACGCCACAGCAGCGATTATAAAGGACACAATGACCCCAGGCCCAGCCATCTCTTTGGCAACCAGCCCTGAAACCACGTACATCCCCGTACCAACGCAGCTGCCTACACCCAGTGACACAAGATCCACTGTGGATAAAACACGGGCCAGTTTGGTCCCGTGGGAGCTGGTACCCGACATGGCTGAATCCAACATGGACTCCACGGGTTTGGTCCTCAGGACACGGGATGTGAAAGTATTCCATGTCGAGCCCCATTGTATTCTACGTGGGTCCATTTTCCCCAGCAGGTTACTCATAATGAAGGTGTGAGGTGAAAGTGAGGAACTTCAGAGGGAAGACTAAGATGGTTGTTTTCACTGTTTGATCAGCTCAGTAATCCAGAAGACACGAAAGAGAATTAGTCCTCATCCATATGGTAGGGATGTGTGGAACTTTATCCAGCGGTTCGTGTGTTCTTGTGTAGTTTATTGGAATGCCATGTTAGCTTTGACCCACATGGAGAGAAAGAAAGTGATCTGAAACACAAAAAAATGTAAGATTTTATTTTATATTTCATAATGTATTGCATTTAACTGCATATCTGAGACAGTGGTTACCTTTGGAAGTACATGCAAATACACAGAAGTCCAAAAACTGAAATATCATTACAGTCTCACCACAAATTACTTCTCCCATAAATGGATATTTACTAATTATCAGTTTCTGTTTCACCAACAGATAACCAGAAGAAGTTAGCATGCCAGCGAGTGCCATACAGCGTTGTTTTCTTCATTTTGCAAAAGAAAAAGGGAGTAATATTTACATCTTGTATTATAATATGTAAAACTTTGTCAGTGAGACATTCAGGACACCCTGAACGCTACAATAGGTCATTCAGTCCCACTGCAGTAAGAGTGTATAACTCCACAGTTAAACTGTTACTGGCATTGTCTCTTTTCACGCTAACATCACTGCTACATTCAGTACATGATTCTTTTTGGAAACTCAATTTGCTAATTTTATTCATTATTTTAATTGCGTAAGGTTAAAATAATAGCTTTCTGCCTTTGTGTATGTATAGTGATGAATACAACACTTCTACTATCATAAATCGTAGCAGTGGTGGGATTCCTTGCATTGATCAGCACCTGGGCTGAGGAAAAGTGTATGGACATAAGAAAGGAGATGAGTCTCCACCACAAAAAAGGTAGAGAAGATGTTAGCAAACAGGAGAGCAGAGCTGCTGAAATCTCAAACTTTCAGGTTGCAGGAATGGACGTAATTTTCACTTGGGGGGTGGGGTGGGGGGTTGTGGGGGGGTCTTTACAGTATGCTCTAATGGGAAACAGGCTTCAACACAAATGGTTGTTTTCTGCTTGGTCCTAGAGCTCAACCAGTGCCAATTTAATATAGCGTAATATTGTTTTTGGATGGTAAAAAGTGCAGGGGTCAAAACTTGACTGTTGGAAAAAGTGGGGGGGACATGTCCCCCCCCCCCCCCAAAATTACGTCCTTGGTTGCAGGGTTGTAATGTGAAAAACTTCCTTTGTATTTTGTTTCATAGATTAATTAAAGGGGAACTGGGCAGTTTGGCTTGCTTTTAGCGCCCCCTAGGGTTTGTTTGTAGACCTGAAAGCAACATGTATCTCCTTGCTGTGTTTTTTCTCTTTTAACGCCTTAATCCAACAGCTGACATGTCTCCCAGCCTTCCTTAGTGTCTAAAGGAATGATTCATCATTAAATTGAACAAATAGCTGTGTTTGTGATTTAAAACATGCTGGAACCAGACTGCAGCACCAGGTATGTCAGCTCAACTTTTTCCCAACTGAGTAGCCCGCCAATCTGAAGTTGCAAGTGGAATTTTCTGGTCACCTGGGCGATAGGGGCTGGGTGGCCTTTCGTTAACACTGTAAAGCAGGGGGGCCCAATCCTGATCCTTGAGGGCCGGTATTCAACATGTTTTAGCAGTTTTTTGTTCCAACATGACAGATTCAGTGGTTGAATCACCTGTGCAGCAGCTCATCAGGGTCTGCAGAAGCCTGTTAATTACCCGCCGACTGAAAGCAGGTGTGCAGAAGCAGGTTTAAAAATAAAACATGTTGAATACCGGCCCACCAGGACCAGGATTGGGCACCCCTGCTGGAAAGAGTAGCTTTAGCACATACTGACTCAAAAAAATGATTTAAAAATACCAAAAAGTTGCAAAATATCCCTTCAAATGGTTTTTGTTTTTTGGAATTAAAAATGTGTGAAAGTCTTGTGTCACAGCATGGATTTATTATCATTTCTGCATCAACTACAGTATTTTCAGAGTCTTCTTTACATTACTGAGCGACACCTTGTCAGTTCTTCTGTATTTACTGATAGTCATACAATCATCGTATAATATAGATTGTATTAGATCATCATTATAATTACAAATTGTACAATTAAAATCCATTTGATTTAATTTAATCTTCGAAAAACAAATAAAATACAAACATGTTTAACTTTGCCACCACTGTCATATTTGTCAGTCAATCAATCTAGGCTTTATGTAGCGCCTTCCTCACCCATTGCTGGAGGTCAAGGTGCTGAACAACAAAATGCAATCATGATAAAAGAAATTAAAACATTGAACATCAAACAAAATAATTAAAAGCAAAAAAAACTTAAATCTACATAAAAGTAAGCCAACTTCAAGCATGTTCAAGAAATTCTAAATGAATTGATTTTCAGGCGACTCTTAAAGACCGGCAAAGAAGTAAACTGCCTAATTGCACTAGAAATGAAAAAGCCCGGTCTCCACGAGTCTGACACCTAGTACGAGGGACAATTAGCAGGCCCTGATCAGAGGAACTCAGAGAGCATGTTGGGACACATTGTTTCAGGAGTGCCTCTAAGTAAAGAGGGGCATCTCCATGAAAGACATTAAAAACAAACACCAGAAGTTTAAAATGTGCCCAATAAAAGACTGGAAGCCAGTGTAGGGAGGCCAGCACTGGACTGATGTGGCCCCCTTTGCTGGCTACAGTGAGAAACCTGGTGGCACTATTCTGCAAATCTGAAGACAACGAAATGGTGAATGACCAAACCCGGCACAGAGTTACAATGATCCAACCTGGAGATTACAAATGAATGGGGAACCTGCTCCAAGTGTACTCATGTGACAGCAAGGGAAAAAACCTCCCAAAAATTTTATGTTAAAACAAAAAACTCTAACTTGTGAATAATTTCCACCTGACTAAACTTTCCAGAAATTTTCCAGAACCACAACAAATGCAAAGAAATAGTAAAAAATTATCTCATCATGGTAAATAAAAATGTGGAAAAAAATAAATCAGTGAGTCTTCTCCACATGGCTCGGTCTGTTTGTGCGATAACAATGAGATTAGAGACACTGTTGAAAGGAGAGCTCTTATAGTAGCCCAATCCGCTCTCTCACTTTCTCTGAACAGCGCTACACCGGCAATCCCCACTGAACAAATGCTGAACAAACACTCATGAACGGCACACCCACGTAGCCTCTGAGCTATGATGACTGCAATTATCCAGCTGTTTAACCAGACTGGGACAGGGTCACTATTGTAGCTGCACTTAGTGGAAGCGTGAGCATGCACAGTGGTATAGAGAACTGAAAAGGCTACTTCATTTGAGTGCTGTAGTGAATGCTGAGAGGGATGGAGACTTTACTGATCATTCATGTGGAGAAGACATAAATGTTGAACAAACATCTCAAATATGCTTTTGGAGGGATACAAACAGGGAAGAGTGAGATCTGCATCTTTATCTTACCTTTATACTGAGCATGGCTGGTATGTGGTGGTGGAAGGACTTCACAGAGCCAAGAGCTGTGATTAGACTCTAATTCACACCTGGTGTGTTTGAATGAGTTGGCTGTTTTAGTCATACGCAGGACAAACTCTTTCTGCTAGTGTTCTCTGTGTCCTGGAACAATGTAGTCCCTCACTGACTGCGTGTTCAGACCAGGACAGTCACTGTTTGTCCCTCCCCAACAAATGGTGAGTCTGGCTTGCAGGGGAGAGCACATGGATGACTATTGGAGGTTAAATTCCTGCTACCAGTGCAACATTCCAGGTTTAAAAAGGACTTTGGACATGCAAACACATCTTAGAGGTTAGATGCAGCTGCTTTGATTTTAATAGTGTTTAAAAACACTTTTAAGCTACTTTCCTTTAAGTCTTGTAACTGGTTTGTGACTTTAAAGTTGAACATGATCATAATGCATATCTCAAATGTAGACAAGCAAATGTATTTTGGCTAATTAACAACCTGAGGTTTTTATTAATTATAAAAAAAATCATATTAATATAAGTTCAA